GCCCGGGGCGTGGCCCCCCAGCCGGAACTGCAGCCGGTCGATCTGGAACTGGATCTCCACCTGGCGGGTGGTGTCCGGCTGGAAGCCAAGCTCGCTGCAGCATCTTGGGGGGAGAAGCAGCCAGATGCTCTTCTCCGTGGTGGCCTTGCTCTCCACCTTGACCTCATACACCCGGTTGTCGGTGGGCGGGGCGGGCGCCAGGAGAGCGGTGTTCACCGCCCGGCTCAGCAGGTAGCCCTCGCTGGTGTCCGGCGTCAGCACCCACGGGATCGGCACTTCCGCAAAGAGCTCTCCCGGGAGGGCGATCTTCATCCCCACAGAAAGCGTCTGCAGCATCGGGGTCAGGGAGACGGCCACCTGGAGGTTGAGCCTGAGACAGAAGGCACCAGAGCTGATGGCACGTGTGGGTTCACCAGCGATATTCCCCCCGCGGCAGATGGGCCTGCCCTCATCCCCGTCCAATTCCCCCCCCCCCCCCCGCCCACCACAGTACGTTCGTGCACAGGCGTGTGGATGATGAACCGATAAGCCCACAGGCCATCGCTTCAGATGGGCCTCTGTCCTCTCCCATTCTAGCCACGCAAAAGCCGCCCCTGGTCTCTCCGATGTGCCCTGTGGGGCGTCCAGCCGGCAGCTCGTGCTCCACGCGGCTGAAGCAGAGCTCCTCCCCTTCCTTCCAACCCCCTCGAGTGCCTTTTCCGAGAGCCACTCCACCTCCCGGCTGGACCCTCAGGCCCGTAACCTGGGCATCCGCTTTCATTCAGACTCGGTCCGTGTCCAGGTCATGCCCAAATCGTACAGACTCTCTCCGGCCCTTCCTCCCCAGCCACGCGGCTGAAACTCTGTCTCACACTGCGACAACCTTCCCCCTGGCCTTGACAAACGCCATCTTGCCCCTCAAAGCCATGGGCAGCGGGTGAACCTAGGGCAGCAAGTGGCAAGACCCTAGTCCCGCCCCTTTTGCCCAAGGGCCCGCCCCTGCTGCCCATGACCCCCATGGGAGCCAAGCCCTCACACTGTAGAAGCAAGTTCCCAGCCTTGACCCCCCTGAAAGCACAAGAAAAGCATAAGAACGGGCAGACTGGGTCAAACAAAAGGTCCATCTAGCTCAGTGTCCTGTCTGCCCACAGTGGCCAATGCCCAGAGGGAGGGCAAACATCAAGCAATCCTCATGTGATCCCTCCCCTTTCATCCATTCCTGCCCATCCTGGCTAACAGCCATTGCTGGATCTAATCTCCATGAATGTATCTAGCTCTTTTTTGAACCCTGTTCAAGTCCTGGACTTCACAACATCCTGTGGCAAGGAGTTCCACAGGCCGACCCTGCGCTGCATGAAGAAAAACTTCCTTTTGTTTGTTTCAAACCCGCTACCTATTCATTTCAGGTGGTGACCCCTAGTTCTTACGTTATGGGAACAAGCAAATAACTTCCTTAATCACTTTTTCCACGCCGGCCATGATTTTATAGACTTCTATCCTCTCTCTCCCCCTCCCGCCCCCAAAGTCTCCTCTTTTCTGGGCTGAAAAGTCCTAGTCTTTCTAATCTCTCTTCACAGGGCTGAGTGCTGCGGTGCAGCCCAGACGTTGAACGGGGGATACCCTGGGAACGGAATGTGGGCGGGGCCTTACACCCACCAGCCATGCCTTCAGAAACCTGCCTGCTACAAAGACCATTCCCCTTGCCTTGCCGACCTCGCCTCGGCCTTTGCGTCCCTCCCAGCCTCCGCCTTCTGGGTCACATCAGACATAAGCCCCTTGCCTTCGCTTTCCCGGGCTCACACAACCTCTCCCCAGCCTCGTTCTCTCTCCCTCCTTAGCCTGAGGTCCCCCCCCACTCCCATCAGCCTCCAAAGATGCACTTGTTACATTTTCAATCGGGCACCTTCGTGCTCTCGCCAGCGCTGCCCCCACACTTAGTG